ATTATTTTTATTTTGAACTTTCTTTCAGGAAGAGTCACGAGGTCCATATCATTTAAATCTTTCTCTGGAGTTATATTAATAATTTTACTCTGGACCAGGTTTCTTTGGCATGTCATATTTGTATATGGCGCCCTCTAGTGTCCAGAAGCTCTATTCTGGAGCTGCTCAGCCCCTGAAGCAATGTCGGGGGTCGCAGGGGAGCAGTACTGGTGCCTGGGGGGAGGAAAGAGCTGTTCCCTGCCTCCCAGCTGCTGTGCCTCTCTCCACTGCCTGAGCCAGTGGGCTGGGCACACAGGTATAAGTTTTTGTCCCAGAGCAGCCGGATATGCATCCCTGCTTTCCACAAGCAGCCAGAATCCCAGACACCCCAGGAACTCTGCCTGTATTAACTTTCCATCCCAGTAGTCATGCAAGTCTCATGAAAGCACCAATAAATGCAGGTTTATGCTCCCAGAGCAGATCTCTGGAGCTAGGTATTCAGCAGTCCCAAGCCTTCCACTCCCTGGTCCATTTCTGTTCCTCCTGGTGAGCTGGGGTGGGGGAAGGGCTCAGGTCCCGTGGAGCTGCAGCTCTGGTACGTTACCCCGTTCCGTGAGGTCTGCTCTTTTCTCCAGGTGTGTGCAGTCTGATGCCAGCCTCTTTCCTGTTGCTCTCTCAGGATTAGTTGCACCAACTATTTTTTCTAATTGTATCCAGTTTTAGGAGGAAGCCTCTGTCTCTCCTCTCACACTGACATCTTTAATCCTCAATCTCCTTCCATTTTTATACTTGTCATTTCTTAATATGTTTTTATCTGCCATTGAGAACCTACTGTGTGCTACACGTTGGTTATTCATAATCAAACAAAACATACAATTCTCTGTCCTCATACAAAGATGGCCACCTAAATATGTTCTCTAGAAGGCCATCAGGTCTATGAAACTCCCAAAGTGGAAACCACAGTGTTCAAAGTACAGGCAAGAGGTCAGTCTTGCAGGCGTGTGAGTGAGTGGGACATGATAAGGGTGTAAAGCTAGGCCAGAGCCAGAGTAAGAAGGCCGTAATAAAGTAGAGATTTTATTCCAAATGTAACTGAAGATGATGAGAGGCAGCCGTGGTAGTCATCATTAAGAGCATGGGTTCTAGAGCTAACGTACCTTAAATGAAATCCTGACCCTCACAGGAATTGACTATGTAACTTTGAGCAAGTAGCCTGATGTTCTTTTTTTTTGCTCCTCTGTGAAATGCAGATAATAGACCTGTCTTATTGGGTTGTTCAGAAGATCAAATTAGTTAATTTTACAAAGCACTTTAATACAACATTTCCAAATGATAACTGCTAAAGAAGATTTGGTTAAATAAGTGTTATGTTTTAATTGCACTGCCTTAAATTTGTAAAAGATCACTATATTATGTGAGGAATAGATTGGAGGAGTATCAGTTTGGAGGCTGATATAGAAGCTTGCACTGGGTGATGACAACTTTGTGGTGGTGGCCATGAGTTGGAAATAAGTGAGTAGCTTAAGGCTAAGGATAACTAACATTTATAGAGTACAGATTATATGCCAGGCACTAATCTAAGCTCTTTACATGTATTATCTCTTACTACCTCACAACCTATGAGCTAGGTGCTATTGGTATTCTCCTTTTACAGGTAAGGAAACTGAGCTAGTAATTTGCTCAAGATGATACAGCTCCAGTAAACAATAGAGCCAAAAACGAAAACCAGGCAGTCTGAATCAGTATTCCACAAAGGTAACGTCTCTATATACTGCGTCTCTCAGATGGTCACAGTACAGAGCGAATACCCTCAGATTGTACAATAACCATAATTAGGATTGGCTATGTTAGAGTTACTAATCTTTCTAGGTATGACAATATGCTTCTTCAATATGCTACCACTTTCAGCGTCTCAGTATTGTGGAACACTTGTAGAACAACAGTGGCATAGAACCTAAAAGATATTTCTAAGATTTTGAGGCATTTATTTTGCCAGGTGAAGTTTGCTCACTGAAAATCATTACTGAAACAATGAGATTTGCAACTGCTTTTTAAAGTGGGTTCATTTTTTAAAAACCTTTTTTATCTAACCCTAAAAAAAAATAGAACATTTCATTCTACTCCCAAATAACAGTCTTACGTAAGTAACATGGAAAATTCATCTATATTTATATACATTTCAGGGTGCTGAAATGTTAGTTGCTTAGAAATCTGTACATGTGTGAAATGTATGATTTTTGTTCACAAGGATTTCCCATAAAGGATTGCTAAAAATCACCTACTTTTGAAGTTAGCTGAAGAGTTGCTTGTAGCAATTTCTTTCCAGTGGGAAATATACCTAAGCAAATTATAAGATCATTCACTAAGTTAAATGGATTTATTAGAAGTAATAAATTCATTAATTTGTACATGCTTAGGCTACTTCTACAATTCCTCTTTCTAAAATTCACTGTGTTGTACCCTGAATGTAATACAATATTTTATATCAACTACAATTTTAAAAAATAAAGGATAAGTACAGAAAAAATATTACATAAAAATGAAATAAAATTCCACTTTCTCTATGAAATTTTAGATTAATTTTGACAGATTCACTAATCCAAGTGTTTACTTTTCACGACTTTCCCACCCCTAAGTAGCACTCACACACTAAGGCAGCCCCCAAAGATAAGGGGTTGGAGTAGTTGTAGAAATGGTGCCCACCATCTACCACACGAGGGCCCATTGGTGTTCCTCCAGCTCACCTCTCCTCATTTTATCCTGTACAATTCCTGTAAGATCAGATCTTCAGTTGAATGCTTACTAAGGTGTTAGTTAACTTACAAATTAAAATTATGGAAGTAAAATAAACTGAGAGAAAAGAAGTCAGGGGAAACAAGAAGAACAAACTCCCCTTGATCCTGAACTGCCAGACGCACCATCTCCCACACACCCCTGGAGGTTTAGTGTGATTTGTGATCTCAGGGCAATGGTGTGTCTTTGCTGTGTCCAGTAAACCTAGGAGGTTACATCTAAGTGGAGTACGTGCAGCCACCTCAGTTCCCTAAATAGAGACTAAATAGGGAGATGAGGGCAGCCAAGAAGAGGCAGACAAAGGACAAGGTATGGTGAGCTACTCTGAGGAAAAGCCCCAAGGGACATGTTTCCTGTGACTTATTCCATTTCATATTAAGCGCTGAATCCCCTTTCCCAAGCCTCCTTTCTTCCAGCTGTACCCAGGAAACCAGGTAAGGAGTGGGGCCTAGCAGGTGCTGAAAGGGAGCTGGCAGAGAAAGGGTGAGGAGGATTACAACTGTCATGAATTCAGAAAATGTTATTTTCCAAGTATTTATTCCATTTGAATTATGTGTACTTTTGTTAACTCTGATCCTGAAGTGTTTTGTTATATATTATCCACCAGTATTTAATTGTGATAAAATGTTACACATACAGGTGGCTCTTTGTTTTGCTTCGTCTGGTTGCTCCCAGAACTGTATTCTATGGCTTCAAGTGGGATACTGCTGGGTCACTCTTAAATGAAAACAGGCGGGATCACAGTAGGTTATATAAATTCCTTCCAGGATCTCTTAGTAGATTATTCAACCTGCCTTGATCTTAGATGTAGGCAGAAGTTTTGCTTTCAGTGGTTGCTGAGAAGCACTTAGAAGAGTTAGATGTCAATCACCCTGCTTCCTTGGATTTACATACTGAAATGTTTTCATTCCACCTTCAAGGAAGGAACCAATATAAAGGACCTTTGGTCAATTTTATGCTAAACCCTGGCAGTCTGAGGCACAGAATATGTCTTACTTAAGGCTAATCACTGACCCTGCTTCACCTGAGATTAGGACATGAATCTATCCCATTGTTTAAGAAGAACTTCTCATAAAGAACATACCAGCTGTAACCAATATGAAATCTAAGTTTTACAAAAAGAAGCAACACTCCAATAATAGCATTGCCATGCTGCTTATATCATAGAACAGATCTCTCCTCATTATGAGGCTTTTGGAGTTTTTTCTGTTTGTTTTTTTTTACAGAACAAAGTGTATGGGATCTACAAAGATCTCTCAAAAGTATATATTTAACATGTTAATGGCCTGGGAAAAGTCCCTAGGCAGAGAGGCCACTGTGTCTTAGATATGAAAGGAGCAGCTTCAGACGTAGAAACTACCCATAACACCCACAGGCAAAGAGCTCTCACCAAAAGGATTCAATAATATCATGAAATTAATTAAGGTGTCCCAGTGGGTGACCACTTAACAGGTTATGTCAAAATTCACTTGCAGTTTGAGAAATGAAAATCCTAGAAGAGGAACATCTATCTTGATAGAGAATATGCACCTGCAGATCCAGCAGGATGAATGCTAGCAAGAGTCACAGCTTGTGGCATTTTGGGTGACTAGTGATGGTGATGCATGGGGACTGTTTTACATTCTAAGCACCTGCAGCAACCTACCTCTGCATACTGCAGAAATTGCAACAATAATCATCACTGTCCTTGAGTCCAGGAGTGAAGTTGGCTCTAGCCTTCAAAATTATAATAATATTGCGGATATTGTTACAGTATGCCTCTGAAGACTGGGAGATGCACACGCCTTCCTCTCGGGACAGCATCCATCTGTCATAACGGGGCTAGCCAAAGGCCTTTTGGGAAAAAACTGGTTTGTGGAGTATTTGTTTGGATGTTAGCTCCTTTCTTTGGATGTTATTTCTTTCATCATTATTACCATCTGTATTTACTCAGTGCCCCAGAAACCACAGATGTGCTGTCTACAGGGAATCCTAATCTAGCATCTGGAAAAAATATTTGGGTTATTGAATCAGCAATCTTTTCACTATTTTTATTACAAAATATTTTACAACATCTACTATGTAGAATTAGTTCTTTATTCCTTCTTATAGTTCCTTTTTATTTTATTTTTTTGTATTTATTTATTTAAGCTGTCACATACACTCATATGAAGCTTTCACAAGAAAAACAGAGGGGTTACTACATTCACCCTTATTACCAAGACCCACCCCATAGCCCATTGCAGTCACTGTGCATCAGTGCAGTAAGATGCCACAGAGTTCCTACTTGTCTTCTTTGTGCTACACTGTCTTCCCCATGATTCACTCCCACACCATGTGCACTAATCACAATACCCCTCAGTACCCTTCTCACTCCTTTCCCACATACCCTCCCTCACCCCTCCCTTTTGGTAACCACTAGTCCCTTCTTGGATTCTGTGAGTCTGCTGCTATTTTGTTCCTTCAGTTTTGCTTCCTTGTTATACTCCACAAATGAGGGAAATCATTTGGTATTTGTCTTTCTCTGCCTGACTTATTTCACTGACCATAATACCGTCTAGCTCCATCCACGTTGTTGCAAATGGTAGAATTTGTTTCTTATGGCTGAATAGTATTCCATTGTGTCTATATACCACATCTTCTTTATCCATTCATCTACTGATGGACACTTAGGTTGCCTCCATATCTTGGCTATTGTAAATAGTGCTGCAATAAATATAGTGGTGCATATGTCTTTATGAATCTGAGAACTTGTATTCTTTAGGTAAATTCGAAGGAGTGGAATTCCTGGGTCAAATGGTATTTCTATTTTTAGTTTACTGAGGAACCTCCATATTGCTTTCCACAATGGTTGAACTAGCTTACATTCCTGCCAGCAGTGTAGGAGAGTTCCCCTTTCTCCGCATCCTCACCAACATTTGTTGTTCCTAGTTAAGATGTTGGCCATCCTAACTGGTGTGAGGTGATATCACATTGTGGTTTTAATTTGCATTTCTCTGCTAATTAGCGATGTGCAGCATCTTTTCATGTGCCTGTTGGCCCTCTGAATTTCTTCTTTGGAGAATTGTCTGTTCATATCCAGTTTAATCCAGTTATTTGCTTTTTGGGTGTTGAGGTGTGTGAGTTCTTTATGTATTTTGGATGTTAACCACTTGTTGGGTAAGTCGTTTACAAATATATTCATTCTCCCATACTGTAGGGTGCCTTTTTGTTCTGCTGATGGTGTCCTTTGCTGTACATAATCTTTTTAGCTTGATGTAGTCCCATTTGTTCATTTTTGCTTTTGTTTCCCTTGCCCAAGGAGATGCGTTGAGGAAAAAGTTGCTCATGTTTATTTTCAAGAGATCTTTGCCTGTGTTTTCTTCTAAGAGTTTTATGGTTTCATAACTTCCATTCAGGTCTTTGATACATTCCGAGTTTACTTTTGTGTATGGGGTTAGACAGTAATCCAGCTTCATCCTCTTACATGTAGCTGTCCAGTTTTGCCAACACCAGTTGTTGAAAAGGCTTCCATTTCCCCATTGTATATCCATGGCTCCTTTATCATACATTAATTGACCATATATACTTGGGTCTATATCTGGGCTCTCACTTCTGTTCCATTGGTCTGTGATTCTGTTCATGTGCCAGTACTAAATTGTTCTAATTGTAGCTTTGTAGTAGAACTTGAAGTCAGGGAGTGTAATCCCTCATTTTATTCCTCCTTCCCAGGATTGCTTTGGCTATTGTGGTTCCATATGACTTTTAGAACTATTTGCTCTAGTTTGTTGAAGAATGCTGTTGGCATTTTGATAGGGATTGCATTGAATCTGTAGATTGCTTTAGGCAGGATGGCCATTTTGACAGTATTAATGCATCCTATCCATTAGCACAGGTGTGTTTCAATTTACTGGTGTCTTCTTTAACTTCTCCCAGGAGTGTCTTGTAGTTTTCAGGGTGTAAAGCTTTCACTTCCTTTGTTAGATTTATTCCTAAGTATTTTATTAAAGAAAGCTGATGCAATTGCGAATGAAACTGTTTTCTTGATTTCTCTTTCTGCTAATTCATCGTTACTCTACAGGAATGCAACAGATTTATGTGTATTCATTTTGTATCCTCCAAACTTTGCTGAATTCAGATATTAGATCTAGTAGGTTGAGGTGGATTCTTTAGGGCTTTTTTTATGTACAATATCATGTCATCTGCAAAGAATGACAGTTTAACTTCTTCCTTACCAATCTGGATGCCTGTTAATTCTTTGTGTTTTCTAATTGCCATGGCTAGGACCTCCAGTACTAAGTTGAATCAAAGTGGGAAGAGTGGGTTTCCCTGTCTTGTTCCAGATCTTAAAGAAAAAGCTTTCAGCTTCTCGCTGTTAAGTTTGATGTTGGCCTTGGGTTTGTCATATATGGCCTTTATTATGTTGAGGTACTTGCCTTCTATACACATTTTGTTGAGAGTTTTTATCATGAATGGATGTTGAATTTTGTCAAATGCTTTTTCAGTATCAATGGAGATGATCATGTGGTTTTTGTCCTTCTTTTTGTTGATGTGGTGGATGACGTTGATGGATTTTTGAATATTGTA